GGAAACACCGCATTAGTTAAATATATAAACACTAGAGGCTGCAATTATTATTATTATTATTATTATTATTATTATTATTATTATTATTATTATTATTATTATTTCCTTTGGTTTCTGATGTATACTCATTTCTTTCCGGGTCCCGATCAGAGGCCTAAGGTCAGAAACTTTGCACTGAACAATTTTGAAGAAAAAATCACAATTATTTTACATAAATAAAGTCCTTCGTAAGTTGTGGGCTGTACTGGTGAGAATAATTTTTTCTGTTTCTTTGAGGTAAGGTCTACCAGAAATCCCTTAAATGAGTCTGTTGAATCTTTTGCAATCAATCCGAGGGATCCAATTACAACTGGAATTGTTGATATTCTCATCTGCCACATTTCTGAGATTTTGATTTCAAGGTCCTTGTATTTTTATAGTTTTTTGAAGGACCTTTAAGGGTACATTGCACTCTGCAGGCATTGGCAGATCAATAAGGTCTCTAATCACGATGTCTCGGCGATTAGCTTTGATTATTCTGTCTGTGTGTATTGTGAATCCCATAATTTCTTGCAGTTTCCCTTCCGTAAAAGCTGTAGATTTTCCAGTGTAGATATTTGCCCACTCTGTCATGTCGAGTTTTATATTCAGTGGGCGCCAGTATCGCGGATCCTGATACAACATGGATATTTATTATAGAACTGCGTTTTGCACTAACACAATTCTTCATTATGTGCGCTTGACAATGTCTAGTTAGCAAGCATTGGCCCTGTGCAGCAAGAATAAAGCCTTCTGTTTAAGGTATGTAGCCACTGATGGGTAAAGAGTTTGTCAATATCAACTTGTTTGTTACGGACAGAGTATTGACCGTGAAGCTGTTTATCTTGCCATCGTTTCTGTATCTGGTCGGCTTACCTTTCCTTTCTTTTTTTTTTTACTAGATTTGACTAATTTCCCTTCTGTTGCCTAAACACATATCTAAACCGAATTTCATTAAACGTCATCACTGAAATCCTTTACTATCTACAGCAGGGATTTGAGATCGTTGTCATTTCTCACATAAAACTTGAGGTTACCCATGTAGAAGAGGTGGTTAATCGTATGTCTGTAGAATTTGTAGTCCCTGTTTGAATTGTGGAGCAACTCAGACAGAGGGAAAAGTGCAAGACAGAAGAGGATTGTTGAAAGTGAATCGTCTTAGTGTATCCCGCGGTTGATGCTTTTAGTATTTATTTTAATATCAGCGTTTTTGTGGTTAAGTATGAGGGATGTCTTCACTGTATGCAATCTAGTCTTAATAAATTCAATGATTTTGGGGTCATTAAAGCTTTTTGTAATCTACTCAAGCAATGTCTTTATATGAATTCGTACATTTCTCCAGTATCATGTTGTTAATCAGGAGTTGATCCTTGCATCCACATGAAATTTTGTGTATCCCTTTTGTTCCTTAGAAGAAAAAATTATTTTCTTCAAGGAATAATTGGCAAAGTTTGATGTCAGAATTTTGCTGGTAATGGTTAGGCATCTAATAGGCCTGCAATTTTGGGTAATATCTGTTTCTGTAGTTTAATCCATTACTTAACCACAAGAATGATGCCCCATGATTATTCCTAATCTCAGAGGAAATATCGGCCAATGCATTATGGATACTTGGCAGAGAGTGAAGCCAAAATGTTGATAACTTTGTCTATCTAATAGATTTCCACTTCTCTGACTTTGCTAGAGCTGATCTAACTTACTCTGACCAATCTTGTATTTCAGCATTATTGGTTTCTTGGCAACCTATTCATTGTGCATAAGCGTTAATGCTGTTTTCTATTGAATCATATGTTACTTTAATATTACACTTACTAAGTTCTCTTTAAAATTTCTTGGTATCTTCTTTAAAAATTTGTTATGTCTCTAGAAGGCACTTTGTTTCATATACCTTGTCAGACGTTTGACCTGGAGCTGAAGTTTTTACTTCAGTATTTCAATTTTATTGTTGATTTTATTACTGGGCAGGTTATATTTCGTGATGATTCTCTTAAGTTTATTTCCTTTTTAAGTTATTTTTCGATTCCGTTAGCAAGGAGATGCTAGCTCTTAAATGGTTCATTTGGTCTTTTAGTCTTTCAAACCACATTGTTTTTATGGACATTCCTTTGTGTCTCTGCTTTCTTGATTTTCAGTCTACATTCTTCAGTTGCTATGGGTGTATCATTATTTAGGGCAGTCAGTTTATCTTCATGTTTTGCGGTGAGTTTTTCAACGGATTTATTTACACTTAATATTGCCATTTTATATTTGTTGAATTTTATCCTCTGTAGGGATAGTGTGTCATATAATGGTTGGCAAGTGATGATTAGGTACTGGTTCAGAATTTCATTTAATAAAGTGCTACCCTAGCCCCTTAAATGTGGGATCTTTTTGATAACATCTCGGTGCGTTTCTGCCTGATTCTAAGAAATTTCAGGTTCATTAAAATGAAATTAAATTAATTTGTGAATTACGCTCATTCTCAACAGAGAATATAATTTTAGCAATTTTGTCGTTGGTGAGCCTTTGTTTGTTCAATATTTCGTGTCTTACTGATACGAGTTTATTGCTTGTTCTCCAAGTGCTGTAAATGTTTTGACTAGTCGTTATAATTGGGTGGAATATTGTGAAATAATAACATCCACACATTCCTCCTTTCTCCATTGTTATCGAGTGTTTAGTTTATTGTGAGTTAGTTTTGATAGGTGAACATACACATCAGATTTAGGAACATCACTAATTTGATTTGCAACAGGTTCTTGAGGAGGTTGGGATTGGTTTGTTGACTTTTCGAACTCGGTGCCAACTCCAGTTGTTTTCAACGGGCAATGCGTTCTACGGACGAAGCTTTAGTTGGTTTTTAGTTGTACTAAATAGAAGTGCTATAATGAATTACTTGAGTACAATGGATAATATATTTTACAAGGACAACTAATGAAGGGCGAGTTATTGACAACTTGTAATAGTAAACAAAGTTGTTGTACTAAAAAACTGTCTTTTGATAAAAATAAAAATATTTTGACAACTGAAAAAGATAAACTGCTGTGAAAGGCAGCACAAATGTAAGAATATATTAAGAATCTAAGAAAAGATTTTGAATTCTTTTCATTTCTGTTTTCTTTGCATTTCTCATTTATTTGCATGTCTGTGTTCTATGCAGTTCTGTCTTCTTTTCAGTTCTTTTTGAAGTTTAGATCTTCTTTGCATTTCTCATTTATTTGCATGTCTGTGTTCTATGCAGTTCTGTCTTCTTTTCAGTTCTTTTTGAAGTTTAGATCTTCTTTGCATTTCTCAATTATTTGCATGTCAGTGCAATATAATTTGCATTTATACTCTCTCTGCATATCTGCATTATTTGCAGATGGGTGTTGAAGAATCTATTTATGATTTCTCCCATTGTTTGCTTTTAACATCGTGACTATGGTTTTAGTTCTGATATCTAAAGAAATATCCACCTACTTCTTGGATAGTGTTTAATTCTTAGCTCCTTTTTTCTACATCTATTTTAAGCGTTTGTTTTAACGTTAGAGTTAACTAGTCAGTCTTGCAAGACGTTTCAAGTATAATGAGTTAGATACTTAATGAGTGCTGCATGATTTAGGCACAATTCTAGATTAAAGAAAACTTAGTAAATACATATATTAAGCCAAAGAGAAAAAAACGATTATTCATTTCTCTTTCAGAAGTAAACAAAGGAATTGATGCGTAAATGTAGAAAACTGAAGTCACACATGAATTGAAAACATTTTTATTCGGGTTTTGTTAAATGGTAATATAGTCTTTTAACGAAATCCAATGAATGAAAAATCGAAATCTGGTGTATAATGTTCCAAGGACCTGAAAACGGAGAATAAAAAAGAATTAATCTTATTAAGGGTAAACATTGGAAGTAAACAAACATTGGGCAATAATTTAAATCAGTTTAATAAATTATCTAAAATTCGTCATCAAACAGAAGAAAACTTCTTTACTTTGTTATATTGTATCAGTTGGGTTGAACAAGCATTTTCTTTCACAGGTACACTAGCAACAGTAAAAACCAATACGTATAACAACATACACGTATAACAAATAACAAAGGTTATTTCTATTAAAGTTACAGCTCTTTCTCTCCCTCTGCCAACTACTCGTACTATAAACGAAGACTTCATTATGTCCCTATATAACTTGAGATTGTAAAATACAGTTACTCATGTGATGTTAATTTCACTTAAAAATTGTTTTCTTGTGCTCGATTTGCTTTTGAGTATTTCTTCAGAATCTGAATTTTCTGAGCGCCGTGCGATGAAATATATGAGATATAATTCAGTATGATATCTGTAAACAGAATTTCCGTTATATATTTTGGAAGCTGTAGAGGGTAGTCGCCTTTTAATTATGAATTTAGCGATGAATAAAAGTCAGGCTTACTGTTACAAAATTAAAAAACTAAACGGTTCACTTTTAACCAAAGCGAAATGATCTGAATTTTCCAACCACAATAAGCACCAAAGAAGAAATTATAGATTAAAAATATTTTCCGATTATTGACTATACTCTTATACTCTTCTTGCAAGAGACTGGATAGAGGAAAAAATAACATGTTTTACAGTAAGCATATTCTGACATCGATAACTCTTTGGAAGGGAGCCTTAACATTTAAATAGAAACATATTAAAATTCTGGTGGTAATAAGGCAACTTATGAAATCAGAATTGAAATGTAATGCGAGGGAGTGTAAGAAAGACAAAAAAAGCACTTAGCACAACATAGGTAACGAGATAGATTCGAATATGTTTATCGCTTTTAAGTCACATGATCATAAGAAAAATTAAAGAAATAATGATTATTTTTAATATCAAAATTATTACAATTCGTTCAATTAGCGATTATAATAATGAAAAATTAACACCCGGAAAATTAAATAAAAATTAAGCCTATGTAAGATATATTTAAGTTTTAATTTATTACATACCTGAGAGGTTTTTTCATCGTGTCGATAAGAAATCGTAATGGAAAGTGTATCAATGACTAAAGGGCAATTGTGCACCAAAGCCATAACCGCAATCAGCATATCCTAATGTGGATGTTGGGTAGTGAAAGCCGTATCCACCATACTGGCCACCATGTCCATATGCCCCCCAAAGTGGACTAACGATGCCATGGTTTGTTTGAGAGACAGTTGTCACTGCAGGGTAGTGATGACCATAGAATCTGCCCCAGACTACTGGATGATGGATACCATGGCTGCTGTGGCTAACAGATGTGGCGGCTGGGTATTGAAATCCATATCCACCATATAGACCGCCATGGCTATGCCACCAAGAAAGTGGATTGGCGATTCCCTGGTTTGTTTGAGAGACAGTTGTCGCTGTAGGGAAGTGAGGAACGGAGAACCCTCCCCAGGCTACAGGTTGATGGACACCGTGAGTGGTGTGGCTAACAGATGTGGCGGCTGGGTAGTTAAAGCCATATCCACCATAGTGACCGCTATGAGTATACCCCCAAGAAAGTGGATTGGCGATTCCCTGGTTTGTTTGAGAGACAGTTGTTGCTGCAGGGAAGTGAAGACCGGAGAATCCCCCCAAGGCTACTGGTTGATGGACACCATGGGTAGTGTGGTGAACAGATGTAGCTGCTGGGTAGTTAAAGCCGTAACCACCATAGTGACCGCCATGAGTATATCCCCAAGAAAGTGGATTGACGACTCCATGGTTTGTTTGAGAGACAGTTGTTGCTGCAGGGAAGTGAAGACCGGAGAATCCTCCCAAGGCTAACTGGCTGATGGGACACCATGGTAGTGTGGTGAACAGATGTAGCTGGGTGGTAGTTAAAGCCGTAACCACCATAGTGACCGCCATGAGTATATCCCCAAGAAAGTGGATTGACGACTCCATGGTTTGTTTGAGAGACAGTTGTTGCTGCAGGGAAGTGAAGACCGGAGAATCCTCCCAAGGCTACTGGTTGATGGACACCATGGGTAGTGTGGTGAACAGATGTGGCGGCTGGGTAGTTAAAGCCGTATCCTCCGTAGATACCGCCATGGCTATATCCCGAAGAAATGGGATTGACGACGCCATGGTTTGTTTGAGAGACTGTTGTCGCTGCAGGGTAGTGAAGACCATAGAGTCCTCCCCAGGCTACTGGCTGATGGATACCATGGGTACTATGACTAACAGATGAGGTTGCCGGGTTGTTAAAGCCGTAACTACCATGACTATATCCCCAAGCAAATGGTTGATGTGAAACACTTCTAATTGTCTGTCCAACCGGATAGTGCATGTTATAAGCTAAACCATCGATTGGGAAATGAGCTCCATGGGAAATATGGCTAACTGATGAAGACGCAGGGTAATATGAACTATATCCACCCCAGCCACTTAATCCATGTCCCCAGATTCCCTGACCATAACCCCATCCTGTATATGCAGGATAGTGGGCACCATGGGAGATAGTGCTGACGGACTTTCCGAAAGAAGGGTAGTGATACCCATAATGACTAGTGCCGAGACTTCCCCATGCACCTGCAACAGAAAAGTTATTTTCATGGTGAATTGATGTTTTAATTTAATGTTTTCAAAAAAGGTTTGTATTCGAGATTTTGTTTTCAACTAAAATTTATCTTACAAGAGTTTAATAATATATCGGAAGTCAATAAAAGTAGGAGTAATCGTTGTTACTAAATACCAAATATGGATGTGAGTAGAACCGAACAGTTAGCACCTAGGAGGGAGAAAGCGACGAATATCAGGGTTAGTTCGAGACATCCACCTTTACAGAAATACTCTTGGGAATTATACAGATCCATCTTTTCTCCCATCCCCAACAATAGGGTAAATATATAATAAGTATATCATACGTTAATAAAAGTATATAACTAATATAATAAAATTGAAATAGGTAATTGATAAAGAATAAAAACAATATATTAACATTGAAATATTACAATAAAAATAAATAATAGTCAAAATAAATAAAAATAATATTTGAAGGATAAATAAATAATAATTCTAATAAAATATAATTTTAATAAAATTATGGATGATTTGAACAAAAAATATAGTAGACATCCGTTTATCTCGCGAGATAAAGGTAGCACCCTGTTTGGTCAAAATTCAGTCTTTTGGTGGTGAAACTGGAATGACCTCTTCAGGGCGCAGACCTGCGCGATGGTGTATGGAGGCCGTGCGCTGCTCAGACTATATGCGTACCGACAAAATCCGAAGGAATACAGGGCATTGCATTTGTGGATGGTTTGGCTGTAGAAGTTCTCAGTGTTGACAGACACCTGCCTTCAAAGCTTCATTCTGGGTTTTCTCTCTGGATTTATTTCCATAGTCTTTTTTGTGTTTGAATATGGCCGCAAGGCAGTGGAGGTCTTAAATGAGGGTTTTCCTTCGCCTAGATGGACTGTCGAGATTCATCACCCCGAAGGAGCTGGTTAGGAGGCGCTAGTTCTCTGGATTTTGTTGTCAGAGACTATTTGAGACACATCACGGAAGCCTTTCATAAGTAGTGGGAACTTTGCAACATATATAATGTACGTACATAAGCATTACATTAGAAGCTCCTAAAAATTAACGGTTTTTAAATATATAAAACAAAAAACATAGGAGTAATATAAATGATAATGAAATAATTAATTGATTAGTAATTAATAAGGAATAAAAATTTTATAATGCATATGTCGATCAATAAATGATTTAATAAAATTATATAGATAAAATAACTTAAGATCTATCTGAATATTATATATTCGATAAATAGTGTTTTATTGCGAATACTTTAGTTGAAATATTTCCTTGTTAAAAAGCATATTTTTGAGGTTCCAAAACGATTTACTAATGTCATCAAACATTTTGTAATTAATAGAATTTTCTTATCACATTGTTTATTGCTGAATGCACCTCATATTCAAGAACCATCAGCGGTCATGCACGTACTTAAAGTGACTTAATTCCTTTGTGTCTATTTATAGCGATAGACGTGACAGTCATTGACACAAAGTATACCAAACTGATGATGCTACCCGTAATATCACAGCTAGGAATTATTAATCAAATCCATTAAACTTTCCATTTACTTTAAGTATGAGCAAATATTAAAAATAACACATAGAGAAACAAGTTGCAAAATTGCTATAGTACATGTAGCAGTTATAGCAAATATAACATAAATAACAAAAGATGAATATTGACATTTATTAAGAAAAATTAATTTCAAAGGCGTATAATATACACATTGTACATTTTGCCGCGCTAAGCTCTAGATTTGCTGAGGGAATGTGAAAGCTCTGAATGCAATTTTTAATGAATGAAAGAATAAATATCATAGCTGTAATATTAACGTTTAAAAGTTTCCATGTCTAGGTTTTGAATTGAAGAGCAGCAAGAAGAAAATCATCATTTGCAAAAGAAAGAATTAAAGTATTACTGACAGAATAGGGTATTATATATATATATATATATATATATATATATATATATATATATATATATATATATATAAAATTAATAATAATAAATATACATTTTTCGCACCGTTAGCACAATTCTAATCCTGATTGAAGCAACGGTCAGTTTTCAAAAATTATAAATATAAATTTTAGCTCTGTTATTATAGATAGAGCACTGTTTTATTAGCACCAGCACTCGATGTGCGATATTATATATAACCTGGTAATACCTGAGGAAATCATTTCTATCATAAAATACTTACCATTAAACAATCCACTCACAGAACAGCTCATTTGAAGTACTGAAAGAGACCGACGAAAAGTATTAATAATGTTATATATTTAAAATATGAATTTCAGATGCCTATACCTGTAACAACTCACAGACATTTTTATTTAACGAATCCTACTGGTTTATGACAAAACAGATTATATCAGATTTTTTCTTTTGTTTACGACTAGTGAATACTAGAAATGATACGCATATGTTCCTATTTAATTAAAATACTATAACAAGGTGGTTATTTAGAAGCTTCTTTTATCAGTGATAATTTGAGGTGAAATTATTTTTCTGCAACTACACAAAATCAGAAAAATAAATAGAAAAAACTTTACAAGCAAAATAATTTTATATTACGATCTGTAGCATTTTAAATAAATAAAATCTATAAAATGAATTACCTCACTTAACCTTACTATCATGGTTACTCACTATTTTGCATATTGAAGAAGAATCTCAAGTCAAGATTCCTATAACCCAATACATTCGTAGGAGCAAAACATCTACTGCAGCCATAGTCGCAATGGCGTTTCTAGGCAAAGATAGCCTGACGGAGACCATCCCTCCTCAGGCTGATTTTTAATTCAGAGTTTTTTTTTTCTATTAAACTGCTTGCCCTCTGTTTATCTCCAAATGGTGGGTGGGGTGAGAAAAGATGAATTCATATATTTCCCACGGATATTTGTGCGAAAGTGAACTTAACGAACTCGGCTAGAATTCGAACTCGTATCGAGGATTTCTCTTTCCGAGTCACTGACCGTTACACTATCCATGCACCCAAAAAGAACGTACCTTTGCTCCCATCATCAGAAATTCAGTGTCTAGTAGGTGAATAGAATGTATTATAAGTTTATTCAATTAAAAAAAAAACTTATCTGAATTCGAAATGCAGTAACGTTTATCGTTATTCGTAATAATATAACAGAAGAAAGACACGTAAGATCTAAATCTGGTAAGAAATAAGAATGCAGCAAATCTCACATGAACTTACCTGCAATAAAGGCGAATAGCACAGGTATGGTCTCCATGATGCTCACTTATAAAAAAACTCTGAAAATAAAGAGAAAGATGGATGACACAGTTTTAATAGCGGACAAAGAATGGAAGCTGCAGAAACTCCTAGAGAAGATATCAAATTCTCGGGTTAACGTTTTACGCTGACATGAAGTGGAAAGACTATATTTAGCCGAATGCTAGGTTGGCTGCTAGGGAAGTTAGTTCACTGCGTCGGGCTAGACAATGTTTCTCGCCAAAATCTGTCTTAGACATTTATAAGTCTACCATTCGTCCATGCATTGCATATTGATGTCACATCTGGTTTAGTGCTTCGGTTATACATTTAAAGATTCTTTATAAAATGCAAAGAAGAATCTGCAATGTTATTGGTCTTGATATGGTATCTCGTTTTTAGTAATATTCCCACAACTGTAACATTACTTCCCTGTGACTTTTCTATAAATATTTTTAGGTAATTGTTCTGATGAGCTTTCCTCTTTGGTGCTCCGACTTTACGAATTTAAGTGTAGTACTATATTGGTAGTTTGGTCTCATCGTTTTACTATTGAAACTGCTAGATGTAACCGTAGTTTCTATACTAACAGTTTTTTCTCTAGCATTTATCGATTGTGGAACTCTCTTCCGAATTATTGCTTTCAGCCAATTTTGATCTTCAAAAATTTAAAAATGCAATTTCAATCGTTATTCATTGTCTTCTTAATTCCTCTGTTTTTATTGTTTTCTCTCCTTAATATTTTTCTTTTTCTCATATTTTCTCACTCTCAGTAACCCCTTGTGAATTAGTGGTTTTATTGCGTTGTTTAGGGTGAAATGATTGAAAAAGAGTAAAGGAAAGTGTGAAGAAAGGACTAGTCGTCAAAAAAGTAGAATAGCCGAAGTTACCAAATTCGAATTGGATTAACTTAAGCTAGTACAAAAATTCAAATATCTAGAAAGCTTTTAACGGAAGAAAATATGCCAAAGAAATTAAAAAGCGCATCGTAATAGCAAAAATATCTCCCGAAAGCTAAGTAAAGTATAAAGAAACAGGAACATTTCTTTAGAAACAAAGAGGGCTGAACTTTTGCGTAACTGTTGAAACTTGTCTTATAAGTGATGTTTTTCTTGTACAATTCTAGTGACACTTTGAAACAAAAAATACTTTGTCTATATTCACTTAAAGTCTCTACCATACACGTGACAAGATTTAGATACCTTTTCATTGATTTTAATTATTAATAATAATGCTAGTAATTATAATAATTGATAATTCAGTTAAAGGGCAAAATCTATGAATTGCAAGTAAAATGAGAGATCTGTGCTCATGTAGACAAAAATTGTGCATTGAGTTCAGATGTCAGCCATAGTATTCCTGTCTAGAAAAAAGATGCTTC